CACACGGCTAATTGAAACTAAACCCATATAATTACTCTCACAAAAATTCGATCATACTAATAAGCAAATATGACTGCATCATTTCTCAATATTATAGATAGGCTACTATCAAAAATTTCCACCACTAATTAAGTGAAAACATTCCAAGTGACATCCAATAAATGCATAGTAATGAGAAATTGTTCTGTGGACCAAAGGAAAAGGGGATATAGTAATACAACTAAGTAGATGTTTTCGAGTTAAAAGGGTAGGAAAATGCATTAGAAAGGTTACATTTAAGATGCTCATCAAGACCCATTTTTAAGACAAAGCATAGTTCAACTCCTCAACTCAATTTATGAACACACATATAATCAGGGAACTTGATAAGAAAAATTAAAAGAAGTAAAACCCTGCCACATAAGTTCATTAAATAATGCTCCTGATTTTTAATTTAAGACTCACCGTAACTACTCCCAAATATTCTCAATCCAACCAAGAACCAAACAAACTACTAGCTTGATCAAATTGATAATTAAACTCGAGAGCTCAAAGCAGTACAATAGAAGGAAATACATAATGACTAAATTACAAGACACATGGGAAAATATGCTGAGAACATATTTGTTTAACTTAAGCCAACATGGAATCGTATTCACTTGATTCTATAGCAGACCACAGATTTCAAAGAAGTGTATTAACATAAAAAATGGTTATTTAAAGGAGGAACAACTACAATGTTTGAATAAGATTTCCAGATTTTAACTAGTGAGTAACAAACTGAGGCAGCCCATTTCGAGACCTTAAATAGTTTCAAAAAATAAAGAAATAGACACTTAGAGGTGATTTAGCAGTGAACCTATGACCCAAATTAAAACAAAACTAATTTGAGCTACTAACATAACATCACGGACAGCACTTCAAGCTACGATTATACTCAAATATCGATATGATGTTGATGAACAAGGTAAGAATGCAAAGTGAGAAGGGCGGAAGATAATGATACGCTACATAAACAGGGAAAGTGTGACAGAGCGTAAACAAACAACACTTAGCAAATAGATTCAATTAATCCTATTGAAATTTAATGAGTTGTAATCATACATACGCAGCAATGTAACCAACAAAGATACTGATGTAACAAGTCTAAATTTTCTAATTAAGTAACCATTAATTGAATCCAAAATGAGATTTAGAAAGAGTTTTTACCTCTCTCGGAGCAGCGACTGGAAGACAACAAGTTTGAGAGCAACGATTCCTTTACCACGAACTTCGAATACGAAGGTGAGCTAAGAAAAATCCGAGAGTCGTTCTTTTGTAAGCTATTTTTCGTATATGACTTCAAAATCCAAATTTCTTAACCTCTGTCCCTCTAATCACTGAAGGTATAGAACTATTTATAGGGGGAAAATGGACGATTTAGTGGGGAAACTCGGTGGATTGGATAAATTTCAAATTTTGAAATTCGAAATCTTGGAAGACGGAAACAACTAGAATAGTACCAATTCTCAACGGATTGAGAATTGTATCCATTGATCTTGATGCCAGGATGAGTGAAGCGCCGAGATTACTCCATCTGGCACTGCTTTTTGAACAAATCATACTGTTGAAGCAGAAAAGGAAGACGAAGAGTATGGGCGAGCACTGTTGGCGCTGCTTGGAGATGCGATTGATGTGACGAGTCTGCATTTCACGCTGATTTCTCGCCGGCTTTGGTGGGATTTCTGGGTTTCGGTGGACGCGGAAGAAGAAGAAAAATGCATACAGGGGTCTGGTATTTGGTACCCGTTTGTATTGTTGGTGTGGGTATTGAAATGGATTTATGTATGGAGCATGAGTTGTTTTGGTATGCTGTATGTATTTGCTGGAATTGAATTGGTGGGCTGCTAATGGGATTTGGGCCGGCTGGAAGGTTGCTGAAAAGGATTGGGAATGGGCTGAAAAATGGTCCAAGAAGTGGGATAAAAAGATAGTTGGATTTGAAAATAGGAAATGGCCACATGAATTGCAATTATGGCCAATGAAAATTAAGAAGTTAGCCAAATTGAGTTTAACTTAGGGAATTTGACTAAAATTTAATTAGGATGAATTAATATTGATTAATTAACGAGCTTCTTAATTTCAACGAAATAAAATAACTTACTAAACTATAAACTAATAACTCAAGAATATAAGTATTAATTAACTAAACCAATTAACCAACTATTTAAGTAAAACTAAAATATTTTGAGACGATTTTCAAATATTCATAAAATATACTCCCTCCGTCCCATTTTATATGATGTACTTTGATTTGGCACAAACTTTAAGAAAAATGGAAAGACTTTTAAAACTTGTGGTCCAAAATGAATGATAGAAATTTGTGTGGTTGTAAATCATTTCATTAAGGGTAAAAAAGACATTTTATAGGCAAATTGTTACTTAAAATAGAAATGTGTCATTCTTTTTGGGACTGACTAAAAAGGAAAGTAAGTCATATAAATTGGGACAGAGGGAGTACAAGATACGATTCTTGAATTTAACATTTATACACTAAGCAAATTTAAACGATTTTTATATTATTGGATCACCGGTATAAAGAGTTAAATATTATATGTTCCATATTAAGTGAATTGTTGGAATATGTTATATTTGACATAATTAAATGTTGTTACTAATACTCTTTCTCAAAGAGATTTTTTTGAATTTTTATAAAACTAATTGTTTTAAATCGTTTGAGATTGAAGAAGCTCGAAATGATTAATTTATATTGTGGAAGTCCAAAATTGGGTGTCAACAAGGTGTTCGATGAATCGTCTGATAGGCATAAAGATGCAAATTCTCTCTATACATCCAATAAGCCTATTGAATTTTTCATTACCCCTAATGATCTGGTAAGTTCTCTTTCCAAAATTGAAAATATTTGTGGTGATGATGTTGAAAATGAAGACAAGAATGATGAAGAGGAAATTGTAACCATCAGAAACAAACTTATAGAATTTGTGATTGCAAATGCAAACAAGCCTTCATTCTAGATTAATTCTATAGTATCTACTACACGTGACCTTTCCATGTTTGATATATGCAAAGCTTTAGATGATCGTTGGAATCAATTGTTTGCTTACCCTGTCGGGCTTGCTCAATGTTGGGAGGAGATGCCTTCAATTTCTTACACTTTCAATTATGCCAAACTTATGAGCAAAGTTACTAATGATGGTCGGAACTTGATCTATGTTGGCTGCTCTATTAATTTATCCTTGGACATGCATCCTGAACTTGTTGAATGTGAGGGTTATGATCTTAAATGTTTGGGGTCTTAAAGTAATTTAGTTGGAAAGGGTATATTTTTACATGTATGGGATCCTGGAATACATCGGCAGTTTGTGAAGTTAAACAATTTGGATAGTGGCATTTTGTTTCACATCCAAACTCAAGATGTTCTTGTGAATATAAAGCAACTTAAGAGACCTATTTGCGTATTAACTGTGCATCAGCGAGAATCCTTCCTTGGTGGTGGTGGAATTGAAAAGTGGATGGTGCGTCGCTGGAATTCTCAAAAAGTAGATCACCAACAACTATTTAAAATCTTCGAACAAGAACATGAGCATGTTCTTGCAAAGTGGACGACAGAGCGATGTGGTAAATATAGATGGGTTGAAGATTTGGATGGTAATAATAAAATAAAATGCAACATGTGTCGTATAGTTGTCCATCAAGAATTCCATGGAGCAATGCTCAGAATCTTACTTCATGGTTCTATCTAGCATGTGCAAAATTTGAATTTAAAAAAAGTTATTGCTTTTATCCAACCCCTTGTGGTATATTAATGGCAAGTGCTAATGCCTTTCTCTGGACCTATGTTACATTTGTATGGTCTCAGCTTGAAGTTGCTTATCATAATGTGGATACAATGATGAACCACATTAACCAGTACATCAATGTATTGACTAAAAACGAAATGAAAGCAACATTGTCATTGAAATTCCTGTCAGTCTGTATTGATGTATTTCCAATTACAGCATATGCAAATGTTGATGAGAATGTCATATTTGATATTGCCTTAGTCAAGTGGCTATTGATATATTTCCTCCAAAGGATTGATCAGGAAGATAAAGAAGATACAATACTTGTTAAAGCTAACTTTTAACACATATCCAGGTCTTAACAAGTTTGCCGTAATAATATCAATATTGTTCTACCCGAACCTTGAGGACAAGGTTCTTATTGAGGATGGGAGTATTGTTGTGAATCAAGTTGACTTTGTACGGTCCTACGTGTTAGGTAATTTGAATGAGACTGATTTATATGGAATTATTGGGCCGAGTAATATGTTGGAGAGTTTTATATGGGATTCAGGCCCAATTAGCTATTGTTAAAAAGGTCTAGGGATTAGAAAGAACGGTTATGTAAATTATGTCGAAGCTTTGGCTTTCAGTTATCTCTCATCCCCTTTCTCTGTTCTAGTATCTCATCCCCTTCTAGCTACCTTCTTCTATGTTGATCTATCTGTAATTAATATGTTATTACTTTGTTGTGTGTATTAAACGTTGTAATGTGTATCCAGTAAATATTATATATCAGTGTTTGTGTTGGGAATCAAGTTTGTTTCAATATGTTTCCTTTAGCGTGGAGTATTGACGCCTCCAAAATTGGCACATAATTGAACACAAAGAAAATTCATACATAAAAATAATTAAGCTAATTAAGGTGGAGATTTATTTTTAAGAATGAATAACTAAAACTCTTTAAGAAATATATATACAAAAAACTAAATAAGAAGGTATTTTTGTAATCAAACCACTTATTTTAAAGAAGTATGTGATGGTTATTATTTTTACGGAAAAGGCTCAAAAATACCCCTGAACTATTGGAAATAGCTCACATATACCCTTGAACTATATTTTGGCTCAAATGAGGTTAGTAAAGTCGTTGTTCTTATTTCGCGATGGTTCTAGTTTTGCGATTCCAAAGATATTTTTTTGGTTAGGGTTGCAACTTTGTTTATAATATTTGGGTATGTTAGATTTAGGGGAAAATTTCACCCCTTTCTTCATTTAAGAAACTATTTCACTCCTTTCTTCATTTCATTGCTAGGGTTTCGAAGTAGACAAAAATTTCAAAACAATGTCTGAATCCTCTATCGATTCACTTGAAAAATTGTATGCAAGAAGATGTCATTGTGGTCTCAATGCTTTAAATTTGACGGCTTGGACTGATTTGAATGCAGGGAGAAGGTTCTACAAATGTCCTAGACCCAAAGTAAGTTGTAAATTAGTTTGATGTTTGTATGTTTATATACAAACTCTTATTTGTTAAATTAACATTAAGTATTTCTCTAAATTATTATGTAAACTTGATGGTTGAATTTGTACACTATATGTAGGTCACTTCATGTGGATATTGGGAATGGCAAGACAAACAACAACTCCCACCAAGAGCAGTAACTGTTATAATGGACTTAAAGGGTAAATTGGATGTTATGAAGGTTGAAAGAAACAAATTGAAACGGATTGTCGATGGAATGGAAAAAGCTGAAAGGGACAATCTGGAAATTTTGTTTGAAGAAATGAAATTTATTTCAGCCCAAGAAGCTGGAAAAGTTATGCTTTTGGAGAAGAAAATCAAAAAATTGAAAACTATCATTTTCATTTCATGTGCTTTGTTCGTTGTGTTTGTTGTAAGGATCATGAAGTGAATGTATGTAAGGATCAAACACTTTAAAACTCAATGTATGAATTGAATATTTGTTGTTTTAGTACTTAAGGAGTTTGAATTACAAGTTTATGTATTATTGAATTTGCATTTTGTAATGAAGTTGTAGTACTTATGGATTGATTATGTATTATGCATTATGGAGAGTAGTTGTACAGGGAAAAAATATATATGTTCACCAGCTTGTCATCTTGCGTTACTGGTCATGTTGCTTTTGTCAATATGGATATGGATTTTACTGTTATTGTATCTTATATGAATGAAGTGGAAAAGTTGAAGTATGTACCTGTGGATACGTGTTTTCAGGAAGGTTTGGCCAAACTCTTTGGGCTTGCTGGTGAGACTAATGTGCAAGCAAGTTGTTATAATATCTAATTGAAGGGTTAAGATAAAAAAAAAAAACTGAATTGGCTTCTTTGGCTGTGGCAGCAGCCTTGCTTATAACTTCTCTAAGCTTTACTGCAACATCTAAAAGATTAACAGAAAGATTAACAACTTTATGTTTCTCAAACTAAAGTAAAAAAAGTGTCGTTATTAACTTTTTTCTTGATTAGTATAAGTGTATTTATTAACTGCATATGCTCAAAAGAATTAGAAGGAAACATGGAAGGAGCCTGATAATGTATGCCCATAGCTGGTGTACTTTTCTTATCTACCCAGCTTACGAGTTTGGAGCATCAGCAAAAAATAGCACATTCTTGTGATCTTGCGTGCTCAGTGGTGCAGGTATGTGGACTTATATTTACTCTGAAAGAGATAGACAGGGCAAGAGTGATGGGGTCTGCAAGAAAGGGGAACTGTCTAGCGTCTATCTCTTTCTGAAGAAATATAAGTCAACAGCTCCTCAGGAGCAGGGTTCTCATAGTGGTATAAGGCAAGATTTTTTTAGAGAGATTTAAATAGGAAAAAGAAGAGAATGACTGGAAAATCATGGCTATAGAAAAAAAAATTAGGAAGACAGTGAACGGAGAATCATTTTACTGGCAGAAATCTATATTTTCCGGCCAAAGCCGTTTCTGCACGCACTCAATTTCACATGGGAACACCATGTGCCATCTGAGCATTAATGGTTTTGTACACAATATTTGGCAACTTCAGGTGTTCAATAGGTCTCAGCTAGAGTTCATGTGTCTAAATGAAAAATAGTGTCAAGTATAAAGGGCAGTCAATGTACTTGGACCCTGCAGAATCTACTCCAGGTACAAATTCACCAACTATTAAGACAAAGCCAAGAGATTTTCCAGGACACCACTCAATTCAAGAGTATCCCTGAGAAGATTACCTAAGCTAACTTCAGCTAGCAGTCACTGAAACCATAATGCATTACCAACATTAACTAAAACTAAAACTACTGAACAGGGGAGCAGTCACTGAAACCATAATGCATTACCAACATTAACTAAAACTAAAACTACTGAACAGGGGAGCAGTCACTGAAACCATAATGCATTACCAACATTAACTAAAACTAAAACTACTGAACAGGGGAGCAGTCACTGAAACCATAATGCATTACCAACATTAACTAAAACTGGAAATAAACTTCACACAAAAGCTGGACATCAACTAAGTAAAGAACCTTACAGTCCTTACCAAAATTTGGACAGTAAGCAGTAAGAATATTCTTCACCAAACTCAACCCAAAATAATAAGAAATGCATTCATTGTTTTGTATCTACCAAATTCAACCCAAAATAAACATAAGCATTAATTGGTTTGCATCTATCAACTTCAACCCAAAATAAACATAAGCATTCATTGTT